GAGAGAGCTAGTCAATTTATCTACCATAAATTCAACTATATATAACATAATTACTAAACCTTTGAAGAAAATTAATATGTTATGATCCATCTATATTGAATAATGCAAGAGATATTGAAATTGATAACAAAATCAATTGGATACGTTATCCATGGCTCAATTTTCCGTGGCATTGTATTATACAAGACAATTAAAAGCGATGTTATACACAATCGAATGAAACATGTTATGCGCGCGGCAAAGTGAAATGAAAAGACGTCATTGATAGACTAACACGTTCACAAATAGCGGTAACATCTTAAGTTTTTCTATTCAACTTTGCTGCTTCGTCGATAATTTCATTTCTGCGTCTCTCTGCGGGATTTTCCTGGAATTTAACCACCTTTGATGAAAACATCTCCCGAGCTTAACCGTCTTCCACAACGAGCTTAGCTATTTGTGAGGGAAGTACACGTACAAGCCGATTAGAACACCCCTGACCCCCTGCCTGTTCCCCGCTATCTCGTCCAACCCCTTGCGCATCACGCCTCTTGCCAGAGTCGACGTGAATTCCTCGAGAGATTTACTGAGACTCCGGGATCTTCGTGTTTCCTACACTTTCAATTCCGGCATGCTATGTACCCATGAGGTGTAAGGGATTCGGGTCGGCGAAATCGTACACGTCTCAAGCATGTTTGCCGTTAAGAGCCCGCGATTCGTTCAGCGGAATTTCATTTTATCGATGGAATCGAACATCGTCGCGAAGATGCGGTGTTGACATAACATGTCGTTTGAGTGGATCAATGTCTTTACCCGAAAAGCTCTCGAGTCAACTATTCTATTATATCATTGTAAAAAATCATGACTTGTACGCTAAATTAATATCATGTGAATAGAAAAAGATTAACGGATTTCAAAAGTTTTATTTAACTCCTAATTTAAATCACTTAGTTATCTTTGATGATAAGAGATAGAAATTAGGCAGTTTGCGAAATTGACTCATTCAATCGACGAGCAAGCAGTCGCTAGCTCCATGGCTATCTTGGGAGCCAGATAGCGTGGCATTAGATCTCTTTCAACTTTCGAGTAGTTTAGAGAGTCGCTGGTATCGATTCACGATTACTTTACTCGTTTTCCGTTTCGTGGAGTTTCCGCGGAAACTTCCTTAACCAGTAACAACTCGCTATCCACTTTGCGCGTTTCTCGAATCGCTGCATTCTATCTAATCAAGCAACGGAAGCGTTTCTTTGTTTTTCGCTTTGTAATTTAAATGTGCGAATTCAAGAAATACTAATTGCGCGCATAATTAGATAAAAGAATTATGAAACACATTAAATTCTTTATTTAATTTTATCTTATAGTATTGTGGATGCTTCGAATGCGCTCTCTCTCTCTCTCTCTCTCTCTCTCTCTCTCTCTCTCTCTCTCTCTCTT